AGGAGCCCCGCTCCTATCTCCCCGCACGAGTATTGGGGCTCCTTAAATTTCACTTTCTTCGGGACGGGAATCTTTCTTCATCCAATTCTACGCCAGAAGCCCCGCGTCTCTTACCCCACTTCCAGCGAAGTGAAGCGTGCTGGGTTTCGCGCTCTCACCTTCCCAGCCCCGATTCCGAATAAAAGTCGGGTCTGTGCTTGCGGAAGACTGGATCTGGGTCGGACGATGTGGGGTGATCATCGACCGAGCGGCGTAGCGATTCCTTTTAGCGCGTCGCTGCTGAAGGACGCCAGAAGTTTCTCTTTGGTTAGGTTTTAGAGGGCGATCGCTGGGCGTACATGCACGGGCATGTCCTACACGCGGACCGAGGGGCGTGTGGGTGCTTTAAAGACCGTCCTTATAAACACGAGAGACGGCCAGTCCGGGCGAGCTTTTCCTAAAGCCGCGCTGTGCCTCTGCCCTTGGGCAACCAATTTGTTCGGCTCGTGTCAGGCACGCTCCCAAAACGGCTTTGTTCACACGGGTCCCCGCGTGAGTACTCCGTGCTGAGCTTCGTTAGTTTTCACTTTGGTTAGTTTTTCCTTGCTTAATGTGTTGTGTGGACCCAGGCCCCGTGATGAGTTTACAGTTTGGTATTCTTGTGGAAACCCAGATAATGGGTGAATTCAGTGAGTAGGTTAAGGGGGTGTGTAAAGAGGGCTCCTATGCCTTGCCCTTTAGGGCACCACCCAGGTACTTATTTAAACTGCTGCATAAGCTAAGTTTCAGAGTGGAGCTTCCAAACAGTGATGCAACTGGATAATTTAATTGAGGTCCTTGATTTAATGCTTTTAAAGGAAGCCCCCCCCCCCCCCACACACACACACTTGTCCATTCAATTATGAAATATGCAGCTACTGTGATGATGTTGGCTATTTTATTCTGAAAAACTATTTTTATCCTTAGGTTTTATATTTTACTGTAGAAGTCAGATGAACTGTTAAATAAGTATTATATCTGTCAATGATCATAGCCTTGTCCATCCAAACAATTCTTGCTTGAAATGAAAAAGTAATAAAAGCTGGTGTGATCTACTGTTGGGCATGGCATCTTTCTACTGACCCAGACAATAATTCCAGGCATGTTTGTTACCCCCGTAATCTGCTACCTTTTGGATGTTTGCCCCCCCCCACCTCCCAGTATTTGGCACCAAGGTCCAGATCTAACAGCATGGCTATTCTCTCAGCAAGCTTGAAAAAGGGAATTAAAGAATAGCAGGCAGGTGTCTTCCCCACCCCACTCCCCAATTTCGGTGTATGCTTATAAGCCAGTAGTAGCAGTAAGAGTAAAGAAGGAAATATTCAGCATTTTTCATGCCGATTCCAAAGGGGCTCCTGGTGGCTTGGCTTCAGTTTCCCTCCTGTAAGAGTTGAGAAGTGCCTTGGTACATCTTAAAGCCCTGGTTGGCTCTTCTTTGGCACTTGTGCAACTGAGAGACACACCCCTACAGATTGTGGCTTTGCCCGTTAGGCCTCTGGGGAGGGAGCCCAAGGCATTCTCCACCCCCTTCTTTCAGACTCCAAACAGATGAAGAGACTTCTGAGGAGCCCTCCCCATCATCACACAGCTGCGGGCACAGACTGGGGTCCTTAATTTCTCATCTCCCCCCCCCCCGCTCTATATTTATGTATTAAATGGACAGCCTGCTTTTCCTCCAGTAGCTTCAGACAGTGTCCATTTTTATACGGCAGGAGCAATCAGCTGAGGACGACTGTGTTGGAAGAAAACACGGTGGCCCAAACTTATTCATTGAGATCCAGAAACTTACTGTTTTGGTCCAGCACTTTTAGCAAGTACATAAAACTGACTCCCCTTGGTTGAATTGAATACGTAGTTATTTTTGTTGCCCCTCTGTGCGCTCCAAGGTGGGAAGATGATATGAATAACCTCAACCCCCCCCAACTCCCCCCCCCAACTTTGGCTGTTTTCATGCACTGATTAATTTCATTTCTCTCCTATCTTTTTCTGTCTGGCTCTATAGAGCTTTAAAGGGGGCTTACAAGGAAGCAGATATAGAACATGGGTTCACACAACACAATTAGCCTAGTTTATTAAACCATTTTCTGGCTTTCCTGTTTATAGAAACAAACCAACTCCATGTCCTATGATGCACAATGCACTAACACTTGTAAGGCAACCAACAAAGATTATCTCTAATGAAGCTTCACATGTTGTGTGTATGCAGTTGCTGGGTTGATAAGTGCTCTGGGTAAGCATGCTGTGTGAACCCAGCCAACAAATACAAGAGTTAAAATCACACACTGCCTCATCATTTTGTTTTTCAGCAGTTGTGTCAGGAGAAAAGCAGTTGTGTCACCAGGCTTGGGGGTCAGGAGGCGTGGCTGAGTCTGTACGCTGGTTGTGTTGATTTGTGATGGATGAGTGTTTTTTTCCCGGCTGTTATTTCTATGGGTGTTTTTCTATTTTTCTCTCTGTGTGTTTTTTAAATGTTTTTATATTTTCTTTTAATATTGTTAGCTGCCCAGAGTCATGATTTTGAGATGGGCACCCATATAAATCAAATGAATGAACAAATAAATGACGTGATTGGTATCAGGCATGCTGTGATGTCATTGCACCAAGGATGCAAATCAGGTAATTTGCGTAGCTTGTCTAAGGGTGTTATAATGCCTGTAAGGACCCACCCATGAGGAACGTTGGGAATCGTGACTCCGCATGATCTGGAGACAGAGTTTTAAAAAGGAAATCCCATTGTAGCTGTGTTCACCCAACTGCCAAATGCTTGACGGATGTGGTTGGTTGGATATGGACTCTGGTGTTACATGAACCCAGTGGTCATGATTTGCAAATCATGGTTTAGGGCTTCATTTTTAGATGAGTCTGGGCAATTGTGATTTAGTCCACCAAATCCTGACGTTGTGTGTTGTGCGAAGACAGCCTCCGAGTCCGCGGGTTTTTTCTGCATGATGTGCTTTTTGGCTTGTGGCATCACACGCATGCAGGAGCAACGCAAAGCCTGGAGCGTTAATGTACATGCATGGAAGACAAACTGTGTCCATGCACACACGTGTGCGTGCTTAGATTGCTTCTTGCCCTGAGGAGGTAAAATGCAACCTAAGGAAATAACAGAAGAAAGGGAAGGAAGTATGGGTAAGAGTAAACAGGGAAGCAGCCTGTGCGTGTTTCTTTGAGTAAGACATGTAGTAGCTGGTCCATGTACCAGGCCACAGTGAAACATTTGGTATTAAGGCTTTGCCAAAAAAAAGGGGGGGTTGAAGGGGATTTGAAGGAAGTAGAGTGCCAATATGCTGGTCTTCTGCATGCAGAAAGGGAAGAGTCTTCAGAACAGCAGAATAGAGTCCCTTGGGAGATTGATTGATTGATTGATTGATTTAAAAGACTTGTACGATCACCCATCTTGGAGCACAACTCTGGGCAGCTCACAACGACAAAACTGCAATAAAACATAAAGCCATGAACCTTGCTTCAATCCAGCCTTCTTCATCCTCTCCCTCCAGGCATTTTGGGACAGTGAAGTCCCAGGACTCTTCAGGTCATGACATGACGATAAGGTTGGGAGAAAAGCTGAGGAACGAGCAGCAGTAGCTGCATTCATGCTCCAGCAGGATTGCCTAAACCTTGCACAGCACACCCAGCTCCTAAAATCTGGGCTGTGAATGGTTTAGCCGGATGTGTGACCAGGTCATTGAATAGCACGACGTGGTTTGTGGTATCAGACCCAAATTAAGCTCAGGAATGGGCATGGGGCGGGTTTTAACTTGTTGGTATGAAACCTTTGAACATTTATCTTTTAGATAAATAATCCACCACTATATCTCTGTTGTAATGAAGACTAGATGGTAAAAGTGTTCTTGCTCCTCTTTCACTGGCCTGGACAACTTGTATCTCCCAGCATCCCTGATTCTTAGTCCCACAAGCTGGAGTTGATGGAGATCAATAATTTCTGGAAAGCTGAGGATTATTCTCCCTTTTTTTTTAAGTTGAAGGTACAGGAAGACACCTTGTACACAGCCTAGTTAGCTGAGCTGCCATGGTGTATTGAATTAACTCAGTATTTTGGGTTTGCACAATACACTGAATTATAAGGTTATTACAGAAGCTGGTTTGCATAACATTATGGCTAATTGGTGGATACACTGTCATGTGAACATACCAGATTTTGGCACAGGATGACACTGAAGAAGATGCACCAGTTTCAGGATAATTTGGTGCTATTTATTGAAGTGTCACTTACAAGCTAGGTTCACACATTACATTAAGTCATCACACAATTTGCTTGTGTTTTGGCCTGGCATGTTGTGTGAGACCAACCACTGTGGTTTTTAAACAGTGCTTTATGGCTTACTTTGTATTATAAATCCAGAAAATTGTTGTTCGTTTATTAAATCATAGTCAAACCATCTAGCTGAGAATGAATGAATTATTCAGTTTGCACTGGCTTTGCCAGATTATTTAGATACCTTTCCACTGAATGGAGAGATGTTTCTTTTCTTTTCAATATATATCTGACTTGAACATTCTTGGCAGTGGCCCTCACGCATCATTAAGGCGACTTTCAAATCCTGGCTGTTGAATCGGGCGTGGAGTTGACTGCATTCTAGTCTGGAAACATTGTAAGAGGAGAGCCATGTTAGTTACTATGTTAGCCAAAAATCAGGACTCTGTAGCACTTTTTCAGACTGACAGATTTTATTTAAAGGTATAAGCTACAGCTCCCAAAAACTTATGCCTTTTAATAAAATTTGTTAGTCTGGAAAGGTGCCTCCAGACTCCTGATTTTGGCCTAAAAAGTAGGGCAAGTGCAGAATTAATCAGAGAAAGCAAGAACTTCTGTGAACATTACTATACATTGCAAGCTCTAGAGATGTGCAATTCCAGAAGGTAGTACAGGAAGAAGCTGCTATGACCAAGGCAATATTTGGCTATGGGATGCGGGGGAGAAGTTGCAGCAAGCTATGTCTTAGATGACTGCAGTTGCCTTTATCCATTATGATCTCCAAACAGATTTACTGATGTTATGTATGTATTTTGGGGGGGGGGGGGAGGCTGCCTTCCAGTCAGTCTTGACTCCTGGCAACTACCTGGACAAATCCCTGCAGTTTTCTTGGCAAGGTTTCAGAAGTGGTTTGCCATTGCCTGCTTCCTAGGGCTGAGAGAGAGGGACTAGCCCAAGGTCACCCAGCTGGCTTTGTGCCTAAGGAACTCACGGTCTCCTGGTTTCCAGCCTGATGCCTTAACCACTACAGCAAACTGGCTCTCAAATGAATGTGTGGGCCTTTGAGTCAGTCTTGACTCCTGGCAACTGTCTGGACTAGTCCCTGCTGTTTTCCTGGCAAGATTTTGGAAGTGGTGGACCATTGCCTGCTTCCTAGGGCTGAGAGAGAGGGACTGGCCCAAGGTCACCCAGCTGGCTTTGTGCCTAGGCGGGACTAGAATTCACCATCTCCTGGTTTCTAGCCTGATGCCTTAACCACTACACCAAACTGGCTCTGTTGTATGTATTTATTAAA